CTGATATTTGTGAGGATGGAGCACATCCAGGTGTGGCACCACTCTGGACTCGTGGACAATCCAAGGCTCTGAGTGAAAATCAGCTTTCCCTGAGACGCTTTTGTGCGTTTCTCCAGTGCGTGCAGTGACGAGGAGCCAGGGAGCTGCCAAGCCTTTCTGCTCACAATCATCATTTCAAGGCCAGGTTGGACAGGGTTTGATCAGCCTGGTCTGGTGGAAGGGTCCCTGCCCATGGACTGAGCTGATCCTTGAGGTCCCTCCCAGCCCAAACCATTCCAGGATTCCACAAATACAATAAGCACTGGAATATTGGTGTCCCGGTGCCTAACTCCAGGTCAGGTTCTGCTTTCTGTGCTGCACTGCAGGATTGAGTCTTCAAATCCAGAATGAAACAACTTCTCCAGGCCAGCAGCTGGAAAAGGTGTCCCCACAGCTGCTTGAGGCAAGGTCTGGAGATGTTTGCAGAGAACTGTGTTGTTCCCCATCTGTAGTGGAAGGAACTTGGCTCAGCAGCCTCTCCTGTGCACCTGGATTAAAGCTGGTTCAGGCTTGAGCAGAGGCTTTAATTTCAGTTTTGCTTTGAATATTCCGAAAGATCAGAAGGGCAGAAAGAGAAGGATAAATGAAACAACAACTCTTCTCATAAAATGACCCTTCCAGGGTCTAATCCTGCATCCCCATCGTGCTTTAAACACCTTGTGAAATCAGAAACATGCAGCACACACAGTGCTGGGGGGGAAAGGTCTCGCTGTGGCCAGCAAAATCCTCCTGCAAGCCAGGAGGGCGTTACTGCTCTAAGATGTGTCTTTGGTAATTTAAGATGGAGTAACCATGTGGTCACAGAGCAGATTAACATTCCTTGGCCGGCCAGGACGAGCTTTTATTTTGAAAGCCACCTGGGTTCCACTTAAAAGTAGTAGAATAGAGGAGGATTTATTAGGACTGGGCAGGCTCCTATTTAACAATGTCAAGGCAAAGCTGTGGAAATACAGACACTTTTCTTCTTTGGAGACACGCAACGCTCTACATTTCGTCCTTGCACAGCTGTTGCTGTTCTGTAACATCAAACCAGCAGAAAGTTTGGCCATGAAGGATACCTAATATTTGGGTTTTATATGCAGTGTCTCCAATTTATGCGCTCAGAATCATGAGGATGACTTATGATGTGTTGTGTTTGCCTTGGCAATGGCTCAAACCCAGAAATATATTTCAGGCTTGGCTTTCCAGATATTATCTCAAGTCATTTAAAAGTTCATTATAGGGCACCCGCTAGTGCTGCTCTAGTAAAGGGGCTGTCAGCATTTTTCAAGGGTTTATAACTCAGCCATTAAAAAAAACCCTCTCTGTGGGCTGAAACTTGGCATTCAGGGTCTAGGCCCAGCAGTAAATTGTTTTTACAAATTAAAAAAAAATCAGTTTGACTATTATTAAATTATAGGTGGGCTAAATTTTATTTAGAACTCTTTCAGGCTATTCTCCTGTACTTCTGTAAATTAAAACATTTCCCAAATGTTTTTATAGAGTGCCACTCTAAAATATGGACAGGCTTTTGTTCTGTGCTCAAAACCCTGAGATTTAACTTAAAATATAATAACAGTGCTTATCCCAGCATAGCACTTTTCACCTTCAAAGTGCTTTATGAGCATTATCTCATTAATGTACATAGCAGCCTCCCCATGATGTAAGAGGGATTATTATCCTCACTTTATGGCTGGAGACATCGAGCCAAAAGGTTTAAGGCTGTTTTTAAAAGGCCTTAGTTGCACAAATCCCATGTGAGCTTTGATTGGCTTTGGGTGTCTACTTCCCTTTGGCTCTTCTAAAAATCACAACTGAGCTGATTCACCCAAGGCTGCTCCGAGCCAGGATTAAACTCAGACTTTCCAAGGGCTGGTGCCACCAGACTGGATCATTCCCAGTGCACAAAAACCATCCTTTTTCCTAGGAAATTGTTCTTTAGGTCAGAGGGAGTCAGCTCCACCTGGAGAGCTCCTGGATGGCAGGAGAGGGTTCAGATGAATTACGGTGAAATGGTTTGGATTGGAAGGGACCTTAAAGCTCCTCCCATTCCATCCCTGCCATGGGACACCTCCCATTATCCCAGACTGCTCCAGCCTGGCCTTGGGCACTTCCAGGGATCCAGGGGCAGCCACAGCTGCTCTGGGCACCCTGTGTCAGGGCCTCACACCCTCACAGGGAAGAATTTCTCCTTTGATGGGCTTTGGCAGGTGAGATACAAAATAAAAACACAATTGGGCTTTTCTCCAGCCCCTCCACACCAGGCAAGGGCAGCAATGGATGAGTTTGGTGCACGCCAGAGAAGGGATGCTCATCATTTTGTGTTCCTCAGTAACAATTCAAGGCTTTTGAGGAGTTCATTTTCAGTTCCAAATCTGCTTCATCTGTGAGAAACATCTCCCAGAGCTCCCAATGGCTCCAAACCTGCCCTGTTTAAATCTCATCTCAGGTGAGCTGCTTCATCTGGTTTATGATTCAGATGTTAAATTTATGGATCTGAGGGCTAATCTAGGGTGAATTTAGCAGATGAATTTGTTTTAGTGTTTCTGCAATAGCTCATGGAGGAAGGTGGAGAACAATTAGAGGAGTCAGCAGCTCCTGAGGCCACTTCTGTTGGTCCCTACAGAGAAATTGCAGCCATAATCTTTCACTGACTTAGGATTTCTACTGATACTTCAAAATCCAGGCTTTGGAAACCTGCCCTACACCCTCACTCCTTTATTTGCCTCTCCTGTATCCCTCAGGACCTTTAAACCATTCTGTTCACCGTGCTGTTTGTCAGCCAGCCCATCCCAGGGCTTTTTCTCTCCCTGTTAGGCTGGAGATGTCTGAAGCAGTCTCCAGAACGTGATCAGGAGTTCTATAAATTACTTTTTTAAACCCAGATTGGAATCTGTGATCTGGCTGGAGCTCTGCTTCCCATGGAGGGTGTTAGGATGGTGGGGCAGAAACATTCCTGGGATGGAGCTTGGAGAAATGGTCCTGGGGGGCTGAGGAGCCATCAGACACCCCTGAGAGATGTCAGACCCTGTTGTGTGGCATCTCTGCCCTTTGAGCCCCATCCACAGATCTCCTAAATAACTGGATCCCTGGGAGTGGAGGAGCAGCTGTATTTTCACAGAATCACGGAATCTTCAGGTTGGAAAAGACCTCTGAGATCACCATGTTCACCACCACCATGTTCACCACTAAACCATGTCCCCAAGTGCCACTTCCACGTGTTTTTTGGACATTTCCAGGGGTGGTGACTCCACCACTGCCCTGACCAGCCTGTTCTAACGCTTTACAACTCTTCCCATGATTTTTTTTTCCAATCTAAACCTCTCCTGGTGCAACTTGAGGCCGTTCCCTCTCATCCCATCCCTTGTTCCCAGAGAGAAGCACGGTTTCACACCTGCACATTAGAACTTAATTGAAAAAATGCACGTGGAAAAAAAAATAAATACCTGTGGGGCAGGGCCTGGGTGCCAAATGTTTGTCCCAAATGGCTGCTGGGACCAGGTGAGGACAGGGAGGCCTTGTTCAAAGTGCTGTGCAAACACAGAGCAAGTTGTGTGCTAAACAGATTAAAAACAAAGGCAAGAGATACTGCTCTCCACAAACCATAATGAAGGGAGGAGCTGGGCAAGCCAAGATTACAGGGAATAATTAGGGAAGTGGCTTACTTGGGCAGGTTGGGTGGCTGAGCTGGTTTGGAACATGCTGGAGGGGTTTTTTCACACTTTTAGGAAGGTTTCTCGCTGGAGTTAACTGCAGATGGACTTGAGAGTGATGGAGCACAGCAGCACAGCAGCAGTTTGGGGATTCCCCATCCCTGGAAGTGTCCAAGGCCAAGCTGGACAGGGCTTGGAGCAGCCTGGGGTAGTGGAAAGTGTCCCTGCCTGTGGCAGGGGTGGGACTGGATCAACTCCAAGGTCCCTTCCAATCCAAATAATTCTGTGATTCCAAGTTCTCTGACTGATTCTGGCTTTTCTTGACCTCCTGGTTTGACTCTGGGAGTTCAGGAGCCAGATACAGAGGGGATTTCTCATTCCTTGGCCACCCTGCTGGGACAGCCAGCAGCTGATGATGGCTCTGGGCACTATCAGCCCTGCTTGAACCTCTGATGTGGAGATGAAAGCCTGAGGATCCCATTCCCCATCCCCAATCCTGTCCCTCCCTGCCTTGATGGGATTTAATGAAGTGGTGAACACAGAGCACCAGGAATGGGGCCTCTTCCTGAGGGATGCCCAGCCCTGAACAGAAGGCAGAGCTCAGGAATGGATTAGGAGAGATTCACCTTCCTAATTCTAATTGAATTTGATTATTCAATCATGAGCCCTGTTTCAGGTTGGAGGTGATCTTCAGTTCTTTCAGCCATGGAAATACTGAAAATCAAGTGTCCTTTCCCAGATATGATCCTTATTCCTCATCTCTGCAGTTGGTGCTTACAAAATCGTGGATAACAGTGGATAACACCCTGTCTGCTCTGCCTGTGAGTCACTAAAAACAGCTTGGAGACAGGATCACAGAATCCTGGGATGGTTTGTGTTGGAAGAGACCTTAAATCTCATCCCATCCCACCCCAGCCATGGCAGGGACACCTCCCACTGTCCCAGGCTGCTCCAAGCCCCATCCAGCCTGGCCTTGGGCACTGCCAGGGATCCAGGGGCAGCCTCAGCTTCTTTGGGTGACAGGATTTTCACTTCTGAATGATTCCTTTCATATATTCCTGTACTTTGGTGCATTCTGGCACGAGCAGAGGCAGCATCAAAATGAACAGCTGGAGCACTGAGGTGATTTTCATGTTTATTGGGTAGGAGAAAGAAAAGAAAAAAGAGCAGCAGGGTTTCTTCTGTGCTAAATGAAGCCAAATAGGAGATGTTGAGACAGCAGATGTCCAGCTCCTTTGTGTCTCCTCCAAAGACAAGCAGGAGCTTTCTCCACAATCACATTCCCTGCTCTCAAATCCTTCATTCCCCTTCTTTTCCCTCCAACCCCAGATTATTTCCTGACGCTGGACGAGCCCATGAACAACATCACCACCACCCTGGGCCAGACTGCAGAGCTGCACTGCAAGGTGTCTGGGAACCCCCCTCCCACCGTCAGGTGGCTGAAGAACGACGCTCCCGTGGTGCAGGAGCCCCGCAGGATCTCCTTCCGAGCCACTCCCTACGGCTCCCGCCTGCGGATCCGCAACCTGGACACCACCGACACCGGCTACTTCCAGTGCGTGGCCACCAACGGCAGGAGGACTGTGTCCACCACTGGGGTGCTCTTTGTGAAGTTTGGTGAGTTTTCTCCTCTGAGACTGTTCAGCTCTTGCTTGGGAGGAGGTGTTTATCCGGGGGAAAGCAGGGCGCTGATGTAGCGGCGTCGTGGAATTGGTCAGGTTGGAAAAGGCAGATTTGTTAAACTTCCTAAAACCAGGGTTTGTAGAGAGCCCAGGAATCCGTGAGCTGGTTGGAGCTCTGCTTCCCATGGAGGGTGTTAGGATGGTGGGGCAGAAACATTCCTGGGGATGGAGCTTGGAGAAATGGTCCTGGGGAGCTGAGGAGCCATCAGACACCCCTGAGAGATGTCAGACCCTATTGTGTGGCATCTCTGCCCTTTGAGCCCCATCCACAGATCTCCTAAATAACTGGATCCCTGGGAGTGGAGGAGCAGCTGTATTTTCACAGAATCACAGAATCTTCATGTTGGAAAAGACCCCTGAGATCATCCAACCACCATTAAACCATGTCCCGAGTGTCACATCCATGTTTTTTGGACATTTCCAGGGATGGTGACTCCACCAGTGCTTTGGGCAGACTGTTCCAACACTTTTGGAGGAGATATTTTCTCAATATCCAATCTAAACCTCCCCTGGAACAGCTTGGAGCTGTTCCCTCTCCTCCTGTCCCTGTTCCTGGGAGCAGATCCCAAATCCCCCCGGCTGTCCCCTCCTGCCAGGGACTTGTGCAGAGCCAGAAATTCCCCCTGGGCCCCCTTTTCCCCAGTCTGAGCCCCCATTAATGTGGTACCTGGGTAGATCCAGCCCAGAGGAGAAAAACTCCTTTATTCTGAGTGACCTCTGTGTCTGGTGAGTGAGAAATTTCAGCTGGCACTGCAGGCTGAGGGCCTGAGATGAGACACACATATACCTGTCAGGGAAAATAAGCACTCTTTCTTCCAAGTTTATATTGAGATAACTGCCTTCAAAGCTGATCTTTCCACTCAGAGGATTCCAAACAAGAAACAGGTTTTGTGTGTCTTCTCCTCCTCCACGGGCAGGGGGAAATAATTCACTGAGATGAAGATACTTGCACACAGTCCTGGTTAATCCTCTTTGGAGCTGGACAAATAACACGCAGGGAATGATGGATGTGATGAGTTTCACCATCTTTTTTTCATAAATCTCCAGTGTTTTCTGATTTCTGATAAGAAATTAATCATTAGATGTTCTCCTAAGGCAGTTTCCAGAGGAGGGTGAGTTGCTCACCTGTTTATTGTCCTCGTGTCGTGTTCTGCAGCCAGCACAGCCTTGTCTTGGGTGCTGAGGGACTGCCACTCCTCTGTTCAACTACACAAACCACAGCCAGCACCACAGACTGGGGCTTTTATCTTTTAAAAGCTTTTCAAAAGCTTCCTGCTCGCTACCTCGCCGTAACTCATCCTGCTGTTTTTCTTCTGTCACTTTTCCAGGTCCCCCGCCAACAGCAAGCCCAGGATCCTCGTAAGTCCTTTCATGTCTCTTCTGTGGGTTCATTAATCTTGCATTTCAGCAGTCAGAAGTTCATTTGTCATTCAGGGTGACAGGAGCACTTTTACATTCTGCTTTTTAAGTCAGAGAGGATGGTAATTTATTATAACTGAGTTATCTGTCTCGCAGTTATATTTTCATGTTATCGTGTCAACTCCTATTTCTTACCCCAGACTTCTTAATTTCCAATATTATTACCTTTAGATCCTCTGGTGCCTTCAGTCTGTGAAGTGATTCCTGTGCACCTACAGGTACTTCATCCATGTCACAGCCCAGTCTGGAAAATATTTATCACTTACAAGCAGATTTTACTACCCAGGGGCTTCTTGCTGATTTTAAGGGTCGTAAACTGTGTCTGTCTCTCTGTACCTGTATTAATAAACTGCCTGAAACCCGAGGTTTTGAGGATTGAGTAGGTGGGTGGGAGCAGAGGCTGTTTGTACCACAGCTCCCTGAGTCCTGGAGCTCAGGTTTGGCTCCTGCTGCAGGGTTTGAGCACTTCCCACGTTGTGTTTTGGCAGTGGAGCCTCTGTCTTGGGCAGTTTTTGAGAATATTCTCTTCTATCTCTGGTTTCAAAACATCTGATCAAACCTGCTCACCTTTCCAGTGCCTTACTGTTCCCAAGAGTGATCTCCAGCTGTCCTGAAGTTTGGGATCAGTTTTGTGGTGCTGTGCCCAGCTTATTCCCACCTCCCATTGTGGAAAAACATTGAAAATCCACCTCTCCTGCTGAGGGGAGGGAAACACAGAACCAACCCAACCAGAAAAATTAATCTGTTAATGCAATTAATGCAATTACAAAAAACCTGGGAATGTGAATGTTCCTGGCTCCTGCTGGATGATCTTCCATGAATTATTGCAGAGGATATAAATGAGGAGAAGCATCTGACCACAAAAGGATGTTGTAGGATGCCCTCTAATGGAACAGCCTAAAATGTGGTTTTATCTTCCCATGTGAAGGTGCCTGATGTGGAATCCTGGAGTTTGTTTTGGAAGGGGAGCTCTTTCAAGGGATTTCAGCTCTGTTTGGTGATTGTGGGGTTCTGGGGATGGAAATTCCCTGGTGCTATGGGATTTGGGGGCTGTGGGCTCTCCAGCAGTTAATGAACGAGGTGAGAAAATGGGGATTTTGTGCTGCTCCCAGCTGGTTTCTGAAATTTTGTGGGGTTAAACGACACCTTGGTGGTCAGAAGCCACATGAGAGCAGTGTGAGCACAGAAAGCAGAAAGCTGGGCTGGAATCTCACTGTCTAGGCCTCAATTTTTTAAAAGAAAATATATTTGGAAACCTTTATTCCCGTTTTTTTCTTTCTGGCAGGGGTTTGGTGTGTTTTTGTTCCCCTTCCAGAAAAAAAACCAACAAAAAAACCCCACAACCAACTAAAATATACAAATGATGTGAAAAGGTGAAAGAAAGGGACATGTCCTCTTTAATTGTTGATTTTCTAGTTGTGCCTTATAATTTTGTAACCAAAAAAAGAAATTTGATCACATTTCAGCTGCATGTTGTGAAATGCAGGAGGGAAATTACCTCAAATTCTGCTTCTTGGCATTTGCTGTTCCTTCCATGCAGAGAATATCCTGGGGATTGGATTGTGTGACTCACTCACGTGCAGCCTTCTCCCTGTACAAGCAGAAAAATTAATTTTATAGGTATGGAATTCATTTTTCTGCTGTTTTTTCCTGTGAAAACCAAGCCCATCTGTGCCAGTTTTTGAGTTCCAGGGTGAGAGATGAAGTACCTGGTTATCTCCCTCATCATCCTCCCTCTGGGGAAACACTTTCCTTGGGAATAGGCTGGAAAAGCTGGGTCATAAAATTCAGGACAAAACTTGAGGCAAGTTCCTGGGCTTGCTTTTCCCATGTCTTTATCAGAGTGGAAGTTTCTGTTCATTTACAGATTTTGTTTGAGAATTATGGGTTTTTTTAAAAATATCCACACACTCAGCCCTTTTCCTTCCATAATTTATGGGTGCAGAGCTCTGCCCAGACCTGATGGCAGGAAAACAGATGGGCCAAGTGTGAATGGGAATGTGAAATGGTGATTTCTGTGAGAGGAGACAGGCAGGGATAGATAACACAATAATTCATGGCTGATATTTCTGCTGCTTTCCCTAGAGCTGTCCTAGAGCCAAAAGTCTGATTTGGAAATCAGTCTGAAGCCAAGGCAAGCAGAGGACACCAGGAACCCCAGGGTGGGCAGCACTGCCTGCCCTGAGCATCCTTCCTTTAATTCTCCCCTGCTGGACAAGCTGTAAAAACCCTTGGAATCACATTCCATGATCCTGCTCTGCTGCTCAGACTTAGCTGGGAGAAGCTTCTTTTGTTTAAAAAACCAAACCCCAACGAGCCTGGCTGGTGCTTTATAAATCCATCATTATTTTAGCTGCAGATGCAGCTCCAGGCAGCTCAGGGGAGGCTGGGAACGCCCATATCCCACATCTGGATGTGCCAGGAGGCAGCTCCAGCCTCTCCAGCTGCTGGAATATTTTCCACAAGCTGGATGGTGTCGAGGGCATCTGATCAAAGGGGCAGAGAGGTCAGGGAGCTCTGGCTGCAAAAGGCTCAGCTGATGTTTCTCCATCATTTATCCACCAATTTCTGAATTCAAACACAAATTGGGTCGGCTGAATAATTTTGGGGAGATCAAAGGCAGCATTTTGGTGGTTCCCTCATGTATTTGTGTATTCCTGAGTGTCTGGATTGTGCACACAAATCCCAGAATCCCAGAAGGGTTGGAAGGAACCTCAAAGATAATTCCAAGCCATGGACACCTTCCACTAAACCAGGAATTTGCACTGCAGCCACTGCTTCTCAAAATTTCCCCAAAAAACAGATTTTGAACATTATTTTTGAAGTTCCTGTGCTCCACATCCCTTTGAAACTCACTTTTTATCCATCATCCACGGCAGGGTTGGTCCCTTAAGGACATAGAAATGTGTCTGTTCACCTCAGGCGAGGCTGCAGAGATCAGAACCAGAACAGAACCAGGTCAGAGCACAGCAGATTCCTGGAGATGAGAGAATTTTATCTAACAACAGAGACACTTTGGGCCAGGAAATGGTTCTGTGCCCAGTCTTTTTGTTCTTTTTGTCTCATTCTCCATTGTTCCCATCACCTGGGGCCTTGGCTTTGTGCTTATCCCAAACTTTTCCCTCTGCAGGAGAAATCCTGGGCACAAATCACTGAAATTAGAGGTGGTGGAGCAAGAACTTCCACAAGAGCTGTAGTGAGGAATAACAAGAAAATGCCAGTTTGCATGGGCTGGTGTAAAAATGAGCTGGAAAAACCCTGCTGGAGTGGAATCCAGTGGGAAGAGTGCAGGAAAATGCTCTGTATTTATTATTTATTGTGTTGTGTTCTGATGAGGTTTAACCTGGATGTGTATGGCAGGGATATATTCCCAAGTGGAATATTTACATCCTGGTGCCAATATTTCTCTGGAACAGTCCTTTTGTTCTTCATGGAGCCTCTTCTATATATAAATATCCTAAATATGGCATTGTTTTGTTCTTTATTTAACCACTGGGAGCGAGGAGAGGGAAAAAGAGGAGACAAGAGGGCTGTAATTTTAAGGAGCATCTGATTCATAAAATGAAATGGTGTTTGTGATTCCCAGAAATAGCTTGCAAGGCTTGTGAAACCACAAACCCCCTCTGGATTTTCCCATCTTTTTCAATGATTGAGATTTTTATTTTTATTTTTTTCATTATTTTAATTTATTTTTTTTTTACTTTCAGCTAAACACATCTGGGTTTTTTAGTAAAACAGATCTTTTGTACAGTGGCTCTGTGTGCCAGCAGAGCTCCTGCTACAAGAAAATGTGTAAGCACTGGCCAGCATCCAGGTGAGGCTTGGCCAACTGCGAGTGTGACTGTGGATTTCAAAGAGGAACACAGAAACTTTCCTCTTTTGGCCACAGAAAATGAAATTTAGAGGAGAAAAAATGTCAATCTAGAGGCCAGAACAGATTCAGTGCTCCAGCAGCATCCTGAGAGCGACATCCCTGCGCTCTGGCTGCCAGCTTTAACCTCTGGAATCTTGGAATTCCAGCCTGTCCCACATTTTGTGGCTGGCACAGAAACTCCCTCCTGCTGCTCAGTGATGGAAATGCTGAATGAGGACTGGACACAATTCCCAGGTGTTTTGGTGTGGGATTTTTTACAGTCCCACCGTGTGCCGGTGCAGCAGCTCGTTCCTGCAGCCTGTGGGATGTGAGACACAAGGCTGAGGTGGGATATTCCATGCAGAGGCCAATATAAATAGATTTTTTGGGGGGGAAAAAAAGCCCCAGGTGGTGCAGGGTTGGAGCCTGAGTGGCTGATGCTGACACAAACCACGTTACATCCTGCTGCATGACTTCATCCCAGGGAAATAATCCTCCCTCAGTTTGCCAGGGGCTCAGGAAGGTTATCTGGGATAACCAGAGCTGGAATGGGAATGTTCCCATGGCCTTGTTCTCTCCACAGGCTCTTTGATGTGCTGTCCCACCTTTTCCCTGGATCCTTCTGCTCTGGCACTGAGTGGGGTGTCTGTGAGGGACCAGGTTTTTGGGAATCACGCTCTTGGATTTTCCCAAGCCAGCAAAACCTACTGAAAACCTTTGGGTAAATGTGATAGAGAATTTAGGAAGCCACAGTTGTGTTTTGTGTGAAGTGAATTGGCTACAGAGCCCATTCCAGGGTGTTTTATCGACCTCAGGGTACTTAGGTAGCTAAATATACACCTTATCTGGGAATAAAAGCCAGGCTGCTTTGCCTCCTTACCTCCCCTTATCTCCCAGAGGTGTGGGAAGCTGAGCCAAAGTGAGATTTAAGGTGTGTTTGAGGGGCCTGAGCTGGAGCTGGTGCAGCTGAAGGGTCACTGGGCACCTGCTCTGGGGGGATCAGCCCAAACTCGCAGGAGTGAAACAGAAAAGAGCATGGAATGGCAGGGTGGGGTGGGAAGGACATTAAAGTTCATCCAGTGCCATC